AACCCCCCCCCCCCCCTCTTTCTATCATCAACTGGCGTGGCTCCCGCATACGATTCTTCGATTCAGAAGACGTTTCCCTTAGGCCTAGGCTACCTTTTTAAAAAAATAAATAAATTGTAATGCTCGGCCGAGCCTAGAAGTGGAAGCCAGGGCGCCTTTTTTTTTTATTTAATGTAACAGGCGTGACGAGTTTGACTTCAAGGTTTGTAGACTTGACTACGCCACGGGCGGAGGAATCTCTCTTGGCCCTGATTCTGACGCCTCTGGGTTGCGGGAGAGGTGACGCAACTTGTTTATGAGCAGCCGTGCCTGCTGTGCTCTCTCTCCCTCTCTCCCTCTCTCTCTCTCTCTGGCAAAATGTGATTGCGCTTTAATTGACTTATTAGGGTTGCCAGGTGTCCACTATTTGAGTGGACAGTCCACTTTTTTCACATTATGTTCTCTATTTTTTTTTCCACAAAATAGTGGACATTTTTTTATTCCAGTGGTTCTCAACCTGTGGGTCGGGACCCCATTTGGGGTCGATCGACCATTTCACGGGGGTCGCCAAGCAAGGCTGTCCGCCATTTTTTTTGTTTGCCATTTTTTTTGTCCGCCATTTTGTTTCCCCTTTTCCGGCGGGTGCCTTACCTCCCTTGGGCTGGGCCAGCTGGTGGTCGGCCTGCTCCGTCTCTGCCGCTTGCCAGCTACGCCTCGGCCGGCGCAGGGGGCGGAACCACGCATGCGCGGCGCTCCCGGGCAAGGAAAGTCCTCGACTTACCACCAGTTGGGTAGTCCTCGACTTACGACCGGTTTAGTCCTCGACTTACGACCGGTTGGGGTCGCGGGATTAAAAAGGTTGAGAACCACTGTTTTATTCAAAAGCTTTATGATGAAATGGTATGTAATCTAAAGCTGTACAGTCTACTTTTTTTACTACTTAACGGGGGGGGGGGCGAACAGGCGATAAAAAACCTTCGTCTGGACCGTTGGGATAACTGAAACATGAGAGGGGGGTATAAGATACTTATACCTGAAGGCGTGACACGACAATTTGCTCACACAAACTAAGATCATTTTCCGTAAACTATTTTACCAAACCAATGCCTACAACTTAACGTACACTCTCCCGTCGTTCAACCCTAAGACTGTTGTAAATAACCATGCTGCATGAGAGGTTAACTCTGGCCTCTGCTGCCTTCTTAAAATTGAAGGGATTTCGGTAGCCTTCCCTGAAGCTTGCTGTATAACTGAAATGATATACTCACAAAAAATAAAGGGAACGCAAACCCCTTCAGTTCCATGGTAAAATGTTCCCTTTATTTTTGTGAGCAGTATAATTCAGTCCTAGAGAAATGGGATCAGAGTGAGTGGATGGTATTTTCTTTAAAAAATACTGTGTAATTTTTTTTGCAAGGTACATTTACCAATATTTATCCAAATAATTGATTCCTATCCTTAATTAAGAATCTGGAATGGTTAAACATGCTCAGTTAGCAAAAGAGTTCTTTGTTGTAGTGATCTAGCTATCTTGATTTGGAGGTAGTTTTTGGGTCCTGTTGCTGCTGTATGATATATAGAAAATTTGATGATTTGATCTTAAATGCCAGTTTCACAGAAGTATCAGCACTTCATATTGTATAACCACTTGGGCAGTCTAATTGTCTAGTAATAAGCAACATCTCCACAGAGGTAAGGGAGTTAGATTGCATCAGAAGTAATACAAGTTCTGCCTTTTTTCCCACCTCTGTGTGACATTGCCTGCCCCAAAGGGGTGAAATTTATGTCATATGTCCTATGGATTCTGCTAACAGTTGGTTGTCTTAGGAAAATACAAACTGATGGATTAAGCATGAATAAATGACTGTCCTAATGCAAGGATTTTGATTTTCAGTCTTATTATTTTGACCGTGATGATGTGGCCCTGAAGAACTTTGCCAAGTACTTCTTGCACCAGTCTCGCGAGGAGCGTGAACATGCAGAGAAACTCATGAAGCTGCAGAACAAGAGAGGTGGCCGCATCTTCTTACATGATATCAAGGTAGGTTGTACCAGCGGAGATGAGATGGCAGGATTGTGATAGGTGAAATATTGCTGCTTTCTGTTTGGAGCTCTATAGAGAAATTGAGAATGATGTCTCTTGAATCTAAGTTTGACTACAAGAAACCACATAATTAACAGATATGACTTAAATTAGTTCAGGAGGATATGTGAGCAAAATGTTTCATTTTGTGATCAAAACAGATGTGGAAAAAGTGGCAAGAACTATATTGCTTTACCTAGAATGCTTTTGGTGTGCAAGAAGCTCTTATTAGAAACTCTGAATTTGTTCTCTGCTAAAAATGCTAATCTAAAGTGGCTCCTGTATACTTACTGAATGTGGCTACTGTGGCTATCTTGTCTTGATCACCATGGTTTTGAGAACACACACACGCACACACACACACACACAATAGGGTATTAGCACACCTCCCTGACAAATGACAAAAAAGCTTACCCCCATGGCTTATCTCTATCCATGATCAGATTTCATAGATCAAGAGTCTGTATGAGCTATATACTGGCTGTGATATGTCCCCATAGCCTTTAGACCTTGCAGGGGACTTGATATGCTGATGTGCACAGAGTTTCTTTTTTTTATATATATGAGAATTTTTATTAAAAATTCTCCAAGAATCTCTTTTTTTTACATAAACATAAATCTTTTCTTTTAACAGAACAGTGTTGTACATTTTAACCATTATTTACATCTTATTTACATTTTATTTACATCAATAGTTATATCTTTTTCTTTCTCTGTTCTAGCCAATTATAACATTTATTCCAAATTTCATAAAATTCTGTTGTCTCCTTGCCTTTTAATTCTAACGTGAGTTTATTCATTTCTGCGTATTCCAAGATTTTGTACATAATCATGTCATTTGTGGGTGTATTTTCACTCTTCCAACATTGCGCGTGTGCTATACGAGCTGCAGTCAATATGTGTATAATGATGTGTTGGAGTTGTTTTTCAATCTTTAAATTTATTATGCCCAAAAGAAATAATTCCGGTTTAAAGTCAATTTGTACCTCAGTTATCTCCTGTATCCAATCTCTTATTCATTCCCAATAGTTTTTTGCTTTAGGACACAGCCACCACATATGATAAAATGTTCCTTCTCTGATTTTACATTTCCAACACTTCGGGTCTATGTTTTTATACATTTTGGCCAATCTCGCCGGTGTTAAATGCCATCTGTAAATCATTTTATATTGGTTCTCCCCTGTATGTAGTTGATAGTGTCAGTTTACAGTTTATGTTCCATAATCTTTCCCACTCCTCCAAATTTATATTTCGGCCCACATTTCGGTGCACAGAATTTCTTCTAGATAGTAAACTTGAAGATCTCTGGGAAGAGCGTGGACATATATGTTTGTCTCCTGTGTACTGATAACGAGGCTAAAATGTACAAGAATGTATTTAAACTTCTTTTGTTTTAGCTGATTCTGTAGTCCTTGCACAGGACAAATAATCTATTTAATAAATCTATAAAGTGTTTGAAGTTAGATTGCCTGTGTCCTAAAAGGCAAAAAAAAAAAATCCCTATCATGTTTGTGGGCAACCGGTGAAGCTGAAGGAGCTATTTTATTAAAAGGAACCTAACTCTAGTGAAAATATCTTCAAACAAGGGGAAGATAATCCTGCTATTGAATTGTAGTCCAGTTGGTGTGCCAACAAAGATTGCTAGAAATTGTAACAGCAATATTTGGAAGTCTGCAGTTTGTCTACATCAAACTTGCATCTTCTGATCTTTCAGACACTACTAAGCCAGTTGATCTCCTCTTTGATCTCCAAGTTGTTAGGTTCTGAGGTGGAGGAGTGGAAAGATTGCAGCAGTTGGTGGTAGCACAAGCTCATGGAGGCTTGTTTTGTAAAGTTATTTCAATCAATGATGCTGTTTCATTCCAGATTCAGCAGCTGGAAAAATAGTGATATTAAAACATTTGGTCTTGCAACTTGGAAAACAAGTGATAAAGCTAAAAGATGCTGGCTTGAGTAGCCCTTCTTTCGCTATATCAACTAGTGGTTGTGAAATACCATTATGGTGTTATAATCATTCTGATTCCAGTGGTTCAGCTTCAAAAATATTATTTTTGTAGAAACCGGATCGTGATGACTGGGAGAATGGACTGACAGCCATGGAGTGTGCTTTGCACTTGGAAAAGAATGTAAATCAGTCACTACTGGATCTACACAAGCTAGCAACTGACAAAAATGACCCTCACGTAAGTCATACTTGCTCTATATAATGTCTTTGGCTGGTGTTAAAAACAATGTATCTTTGACTTTTTTGTAAACTATAGGTAGTCCTTGACCAATTGACTTACCACCACAATTGACTTCCAAATTTCCATTGCTAAGCAAGATACGTAAATGAGTTTTGCTCCATTTTATGACCTTTCTTGCCATAGTTATGTGAATCATTGCAGTTGTTAATTTAGTAACAATTTATTAAGTGAAGTTGGCTTCCCCATTGACTTTGCTTGTTGTAAAAGGTGATCACATAACCCTGTAACTGTCATAAAATACATGCCAGTTACCAAATGTCCAAATTTTGGTTACGTGATTGCAGTGATTGTAAGTATGAAAAATGCTCATAAGTCACTTTTTCATTGCTGTAAATCTGAATAGTCACTAAACAAATGGATATAAGTCAAGGACTATCTGTATTTCTTTAAATTTGCAAGTGGAAAAGTATTGATTTAAATTTCACTAAAGAATTAGAATATCGAACGAATGGGTCTTCACTGTGTCCTGAGGTAATATAAATAAGAGACTTAGTGTTTGCTTTCATACTTGAAAGGATCAAGTTCTACTATTTTGCTGCCCATGCATCTAGGTATATGTTTTCTAGGCAAATTGGCTTTCTTTGGGATGATGGAGATGGAAATTTTAAATAGCATTGGTTGAGTTTAGTAATTTGTTTTTTTTAATTTGTGTTTTTCTTATTTGTAAAAACCTTGTACTCCTCTAGGAAGAGAGAATAGGTTTGTAATACTGCTTTTGTCTTCTAGTTATGTGACTTCATTGAAACTCACTATTTGGATGAACAAGTTAAATCCATCAAAGAGCTGGGTGACCACGTGACCAACTTGCGCAAGATGGGAGCACCAAAATCTGGAATGGCAGAATATCTTTTTGACAAGCACACTCTGGGAGAAAGTGACAATGAGAACTAAAAACCACCCATGAATGTTGCAAAGAGACTCTTACCCTCAACACTTGTGCATGCTTCTTTGATTTATCTCTTAATATTTCCATAATTGTAAAAATTTGCTTCTGTTCTTAATGTTATAACTCACACCCAATAAAATGATTAGGTCTACTTATTTCCAGTTGTGCTGCAGTATGTTTTGAGAAAAAAAAATTAACAAAATACACAAAGCAAGCAGAGTTCCCTTATAAATAAAACGATGGCTCTGATCTCAATCCAAAGGTGAAAATGTGCTTCAGAGTGGGTGTGGATATGGTTTCTTTAAGGAGGCATTAACAATGCGCCAAATGCGAAACACCTTTTTGGTTGTGGATCCAAAGGGTAGCTCATTTCTATTAATTTTCACACACTCAGCCCATGTTTGGATTCCCGGTTACAATGCTACCCATCTTTTGAGCTTCTGATTAATGTTAAGCTTGTTCTGTCAACTGTTTCAGTGGTATGGGCTGCAACTTTATAAAAGTCCCTGTTTTTATACCAAAAAATATGCAGCACAGCTTGTGCTATTATATTTACTTAGGAGTAAACATTAAAATTGATGTGGATAAGTAGATGTGGATAAGAAAGTGTTAATGTCACATCCAGGTAGCTAGCTCTGTGTTTGACCTGTAGAATCTGTATAATCCTGAGTAAGAAGTCGTTTCCATATAAAGAGCACAAACCCACCTTCAATGGAAATTAAGTTATACCATGTGGCATACATTCTCAAATTTGGTCTACATTTTGGGTCAATGAATTTCCCAGTGCTTTGCATCACTGGAAAACTAACTAAACTTGCTGTTAGAGCAAGTTTAAGTTAAAATAAAGATGCTTACTTTAAAAGCAAATTATCTTGGGGTGTTGTACTGTTTGTAGATTTTTATATGCAGAAAAGTTTAAAACCTGTTGCCTGGATGCCCTGCAAGATTTAATAGCTTATTAAAATGTATAATGTATTAAATAGGGCACCGTTTGGGGTGTTGAGGGGGATTAGGTTTTTAAGTGAAGCTGCCTGTCGGTGTCTTTTATGGTGGCACCATATTGAAAGTCATTTGAATACTGACCAAGTAGTCTACATGTCACACTCATTCTTCACTGGGTTACTAGCCATAATAAAGGAACGGGAAACTCTGAAAAAAATGCTGTAGAGCAGGGGTGTCAAACTGCTGGCCCATGGGCCGGTTTCATCATACTGAAGCCATGCCCACCCCATTGCCTGCAATGCAAAAAGAATTGCGATACGTCACAACTGTTTTTGAGAGGTCTGCAAGGGTGGGGCAGTTATGCAAAGCAAATCAGCCAATATTAGGCATATTTGGGTGCAGCCAGGGTTTTTTATTGTGCTTGAAGATTTTGTTTTTGTTTTGTAACCAAACCTGTTTAACAAACAGAAGTCTTGTACTCCGCATCAACATAATAAACTGTACTATGTTTTCTGTTAAAGAGGCCTTTGAATAGCGAGCTAAACACGACATGACATGAAGCCTCACATTGCTTATCTCTCTAGATCAAACATAAAAGCTAAAGTTAAGAATGGAAAATTACAACCTTGGCCAACCCACATTCTGACAAGTGTCATTTGATTCTGAAACAAATTGGCTTGATTTTATAATAGCAGTAGAGACTCTCTGCCATAAAATTATTCTTTTCTCTCCAGCATTTTTTAAAATCAAATGATTCACTTGAGATTGTCCTGTTTTACTCTATATGTCATATGCCAAGTATGTTTGCAGAATATTTTTGGATATAGACTTCTAAGACATTGCAAAATAGGATAAGATCTCTTCACTATAGACTGTTCTGTTACCACAGTAGTCTGAATATTGGGATCTCTAACTGATGCAACTCTACCTACTTATTGCCCCCATTTGAGGTTTCTCCTATTTTCCTCAGAAAAGAAATTCAATGATCTTCAAGTTCTATTGATAGCATTGCTTTTGTGACATGTGATGTCCCTACCTCAAGAACATCTGAAGCCTCTTAATTCTATTCTCAGTCAATGCATTCTTTAGAATGTGGCCTATCACATGATGAAATACCATGCAATTGGCATGCTTTGGATTGTGCTATTTACGATGTTTAAGATGTTGTATTAAAAAACTGAAGACCAAGATCGAGGCTCACCCTTCACCATATTTTTAGCAGCTAATTTTAGGCCAGTCGTTTATCTAACCTCCAGGACTGTACTATGAGGATGAAATAAAGGGACAGCCCCATTCTATAAGCTTCCCTTGAGATCTTGGAGACGGGTAAAATAGAAATCTGAAGAGCAAAGAAATTGTTTACAGAACAGACTTGTTCTATAGAAAAGACAATTCTCCTTTGGGCTTCATTAAACAAGGACAATGAAAGTCCTCAAGTCTGAGATGTGTTTGTTTTATTCCATAACCTGTTAGGCCAGCTTTCCACTATCGTCTCGAATGTTCGACCATAGTTCCTATCGTCCCTAGCCAGCATAGGCAGGGGAAACAAAATATATCACATCGGAAGAGCACAAAGTTAAAGGAGATTGTATTAGACCAGACATGTCAAACACAAGGCCCGGGGGCCGGATGTGGCCCACGAAGCCATCCTGGAAACAGTGAGGGAACGGCCCCCACTGCCTTGGCCCTGGCCCAGGCCGGCCGGGAGCCAATGTACAATTTTGTGGTGGCCATCTATGCTGAAACGCATTCAGTCTTAGCTCCACAAGGTCGTCTAGAAACAGCGAGGAACCAGCCCCTGCTGCATCAGCCCCGCCCCCTGGGTGCATGCTGGGGAGGTGTCACCCTTTGTGAAGAAATGGACCATGCCTTGGCGCTTGCCCCAGTCCCACCCCCTTCTGCCAGAGACCCTCAGATCTGTCCCACTCCTGCCCAGGCCCCCATAGGCACCCTTGATGCGAATGATGTAGAACTGGCCATGCCCACCCAGTAGGCCACACCCACTCCATGCCCACCCAGTAGGCCGCACCCACCCTGGCCACACCCACCTGGCCCCTCGAGGGCAACCGCAATGCTGATGCGGCCCTCAATGAAATTGAGATTGACACCCCTGTATTAGACCAAAAAGAAGGATAAGCAAAGATTTGAATGTTGGAAACTTTTTCACTTGGTCTGTAGAGAATTAGAAAGCCCCTTTCAAGGTTTCTAACATGGCAAATGCAGCCACTGGTGTAATGGTTAAGGCAGCCCACTAGAAACCAGGAGACATGAGACACAAAACCAGTCGGATGAAGGTGGGCTGGTGATTGTCTCAGCCCTAAAAAAGACACACACACACACGCAGGTTATATGTATTAATGGCACAATCAGATTGATCCTATTGTCTGCTTTCAATCTGGGCAGTTTATGTTAGGAGGAACTGAAACCTTTTCTTCAGTTAGTTTCGGTTGTTACTGTCACCTGCTTTTTACCGATAGATTATAAACAATTGTGCATGAAAAACATTTAAAAACGATTTTTTTCTTGCTAATCCTTTGCCCCCCCCCCCAAAATAGTACAATGTAATATCTATTTGATATATTTAGGAGCCGTGGTGGCGCAGTGGTTATACCGCATTGCAGGCTAATTCAGCTCACTGCCAGGAGTTCAATCTTCAAGGTTGACTCGGCCTTTCATCTTTCCGAGGTTGGTAAAATGAGGACCCAGATTGTTGGGGAAAATATGCTGACTCTGTAAACCCCTTAGACAGGGCTGTAAAGCACTGTGAAGCAGTATATGTCTAAATGCTAAGTATCTAAAGTGAACAAGCTGTGCCAGACAACCCCGCTATTTTGCTTTCTACCATTGATCTAGACAGCCCAATGTAAACCATTTAAACTTTACCAGAGAAGAAACTTCCAGTTGTCTACTTATCCATTTATTTTCAAGTTCTCTTATACAAGTAGAACAACATTCCTCAAACTGTTGAAACACTGACCTTTTTTTAACGTTTTGAAACTAGCAATGCATCTCCTTCTACGTATTTTCCAATTGGCCTGCAATAGGCATTTTATTTGCTAGAGTGACCTAATAATATTGTACTCTGATATCTCAATTTCTTTTTTACTCAATCAGTCAGGGTAGAATTGGACTGTAAGGCGACAGGAACAAGATTTGCATCCTTTCCTGCATATCTGAAGCATAGGACATGCCATCAAGGCCTTTAATACCAAGGCCATATTAACATCTATAAAAAAATGGGGTGTAGGTTGGAAAGTTTGGTGCTGTAAACTGACTGGATGAGTTGGATCATACTGGTGTTGCCCAATTTGAACGGAATATACCATCATGCCACTATCCAATCTTAATCTGTAATTATTGTCAATTATTCTCCATACCCTAGATCTTTGTAATGAAATCCCTCTAGGATCGAATAAACATAGTTTACTAAGTGGGCTGGTAATATTCACAAGAAAAAATATCCCCTTTGTAAGTATGATAATTGGAGGATGGGGAAAAGAAGTCATTGCGTCCTTGGGCAATGACCATACAACTGGGTATATGTTTTATCCCAGTTAAATTGTCTCTCCTTGGAGTGGGATGTGCATTTGCAACACTGGCTGCAAGGTCCCATTCTTTGGTACTTTCAGATAAAATAGCAAACAAAAGATTAAATGTGGAACCAAAGTAACTCGGCTGAAATTAGAATTATTTTCTTAGTTGTGTGATGCGGAAATTCCATGAGTGGCCCTTAACCTCCTTGTTAGTGACAGCACATATGCATTTATGGAAGGAGCTGTCCAGCCTAACATTGATTTCCACTTGTTTTGTAGTCTGTAGTGTGGGCTTTCGCTACCATTAAAAAGTTGAATAATAATGTTAAAAAATAATAAAAGAATCCCTCCCACCGCATCGACATGAAAAGACTCTGAGCCTACTTAATTGAACTGTCCCTTCTCTCCCTTCCCTTCATCACTTGTGTTCTCACTTATTTCCATGATCACTTCCATTAATCCCACAAAGTCTCTTTCTGCTAGAGAGATGCCAGAGTCATTAGGTGAAGAGCTGGTGGTCTTTCTCTGTTCCTCAGTGTAATAAATACTTCCTGAGTTGTTTGCAGCTTCAGAAACAGCTGAGCTGTCTTGCTTTGTAACTCCAGGAGAAGCTTCTGAACCAGGGACAACAGCAGCATTTCCTTTGCTCCAGTGAGATGGCTCGAGCCCTGGGGGAGTCA